CGCCCCGCCAGGAACGGGGCGCACAAAAGCCTCTGCATTCCGAGCCGTGGGTGGGAATTACAAAAGGTTAGGAGACTAAATATAAAAATCCGCTTGAATGTGAAATCAATGTGCTTTGTTGCTGAAATCTGGGTGCTGTAATTTATCCAAAACAGGGTTTGGAATATCTGGCAACTGTCCACGTCTGGGAGGTCGTCTTTTCTTCCCAGCGAAATGCAAATCATCTATTGCAAAGTTAGAAACAATTAAACAACTGAGATATTTCATATCAACAGCATAATGAGATGCGTGCTTTGCAATTACGTGTCACTGACACACGGCCTCGGGAAGGAGATGACCTGTTTGCAGGAGTGAAGCTGAGTTTCTGGAGGGTTTGTTTCCTGACCGTCGAGGGAATCTGGGTGGTGCTGACCGGGTGTCGCAGTCGGTTCCGGGGCTCCTGCTGCTGCCCTGGACCCAGGGGCCTGTGGCGTGGGTGAAGCCCAGTGGGCAGGGCGGGGCTCCCAAGGCTCCAGTGTGGCCACATCCTCCCGCATTCCAGGGCGCCGGTGGCCCCCACCTGGGGACTGTGCCCCACGCAGCCTGGCTGTCAGCCCCAGCTCAGGAACGCATTGGAACATTGATAATCGCTTCAGCTCGAGCCGCCGCCCGCTCGCTGTAATTTTAGGTCTGACTCAGGCAGTGCTCCGCACTCTGTGGGCAGCCAGGCCTCGTGCCCACCTCCGATCACAGCCTGTGACACCGACGGTGACGACAAACCCGGTGCTCAGAGGTGAGAGACCGGAGGTGCCCAGGGCGTCCAGAAGATGTCCGAGTGTCCTCTGCATCCCTGAGGGTCCAGCCCTGGTGCCACCCCCACACCACAGAGCCAGGAGCTGGGCTGCAGGCCAACTCTCCTGCCATGGCAAGTGTGAGCCACGGGCCAGGCCCCCCCATGCGCACAGCAGCCTGGTGGTCTTGTGGGCAGGGGCCACAGGGGTCACAGACGGACGACCTCAGTCATGGAGTCGGCACAGGGCTCAGGCTCCGGCTCCCACAGTTCGTGTCTCTGGACACCAAAGTGTCTAGTGGGCAGGCCCAGGAGGTGGACCTTCCTTGGCAAAGACGGCCGTTCTCCCCTTCTTCTGATAGCAAAAGCCTGTCTTTGTAGGCACAATTTACTTCCATGTGGCCAGGTTTGTGTAACCAAGTTCTGCCCTTTAGGTTTTTTTCTTCCCGCCAACTGGGGGCATTTGATGCCATTAGTGCTGAAGCCACTTTGCTGTCTGTTCAAAGCAGACCCTAAGCACACAGTCACCAGGATAAAGATGAACCAGCAGGCGCCCTGTCAGCCCCGCACACGTTGCCTCTGCCGAGAGGGCTGACCAGCGTGGGGCGAGGCCTGCCCGGGCCGCCGTGCTCAGTGCCGGGATGAGGGGGCCTGGACACATCTTCTCACCCCACTCAAGAGCCGTCCTAGGTGCCTGCTTCCCGCCTCCCAGGCCGTCTGGGGACCTGATCGCTCCTGGCCGTGTCCCTGCCGCATGTGGTGGCTGTCTGGCAGGAGTGACATCCACAGGCGCTTGCAGTGTCTGGGCCTCTCCTGGGGCCACACAGCTGTCCCGGCCTTGACTCACAGGCGTGGGCCTGGGAGCGTGGTCGCCGTGTGGGGCCGGGTGGAGGGGTAGGGCCCTGTTCCTTGCTTCGGGAAACGATTCCAGGTTTGTTTCCCTGCCCGTGCAGAATGGCCCCGGATTCCCAAGCTCTGCGCTCTTCGGCTGGGGGAGGAAGGAAGTGCCATGGCCGCCTGGCTCCTGCTTGGCTCAGGCTGGAATCAGCCTGCAGGAGGGGCGTGGCCATGCCATCCCCAGCCCTTCCCGGGAAGCGGACTGCCTGGGTGCTCGGGTAGATGGAGCTGGCCCCGACAGGGCTTCCTGGCCCTCGAGGACTCCAGGCCTCAGGGCCATGAGAGATCAACTGCTTTTCAGTGAGGCAGTTGCTATCCTCAGCAGGACCAAGCTGAACTTTCTCAGCTGAAGAGTCCCGGGCAGGACAGGGACAGACAGGAGCCCAGGACACTGTGTGAGGCACGGCCAGTTCCAAGGTCCGGGGCAGAGAGCAGCGGGCATGGGCAGGGTCCTCACCCCTGGGTGCAGGGCGGGCTTTCTCCAGGAAAGTGGGGTCAGAAGGAAAGTTTATTCTGAATGCTACAGGAAGGAAAGCAGTTTGGTGGGGCCAGGGCTTGCAGGCGGGAAGCTGAATAGGTCCCTGCTAAGGCAGTCATGAGAAACAGGCAGATGGGAGAGACCTGCATTCCCCTGGCCTGTCCACCCTGCCACTGGGAAGGCTCGGAGCATCACCAGGGCCTGGTGCACACTGCCTGTTCTGCTCATCCTGCACTTGGCCTCCGACTTGCCCAACCTGGTCAAGTTTCTTTTTCTGTTTTTTTTTTTTTTTCCAGTACCGGCCATCAAACTCATGACCTTGCGCTTGCCAGGCAGGTGCTGTGCCACTGAGCTAAATCCCCAGCCCCTGGTCAAGTTTCTGGGCTGCACTTCATTCTTGTCTGGGCTTGGTGGGTGACTCGGTTGCCATGGTGACCGGAGCTCCAGTGTGGGCCTGGGCACTGGCCTGCCTTTGGGGGGGTGCTGCGGCCCCACGCTGCTGCTCAGAGCTTGTCCTCCAGAGGGACCTGAGGCTGGGCACCTGCCGGAGGCTTTGCAGTTCCGCAGGCCCCAGCAGACGGGTCCAGCCAGGGCAGGACAGCGCACCCTGCCTGCCCATAGCTTCCATGAGAGAATCCAGGAGAGCGCGGGGAGCCCTGTGACCCCTGGCTGCTGCCGGCTCTCCACTTGGGTGGTCTGGCAGGGCAGGAGCTTTGGGGGTACCTGCCTCCAGATGTCCCTGGCCTAGCCTGGGGGATGAGGTCCATTAACTTCACTTTACAAAAGAGGAAACTGAGGCCCAGGGAGGTTAGGAGAGACAGGGAGACGTCTGTGCCTGCCCCTGCACCGCGCAGGGGCCGCATGCCCTCCCAACAGGGAACACTGGCACCTGGCAGCCCAGGGTTGTGGGCCCGGGACACGGAGGCACGAGGCTGGGTCCCAGCGACAAGGCCCAGGCTGAGTCTGGGGCCCTGAGGGCGGCAGGCAATGCTGGGGGTGTGGGGTGAGCACCGCATTCCCGGCTGGCTTCCACCTGGACCTTGCAACTTGGCTCTGAAACTCCACGTGGAAAGCGTGGCACCCAGCAAGCGTCTGTGCAGAAACACGAGGCCCATTTTGCCAACGTAGAGTGAAATTGCTGCTGTGAGCTCAGGGGAGGCAGACCGAGGGGACTGGACCAGGTTCTACCCTGTGCCCCACGACCAGGGGCCCTGGTCACTCGGGGCCTACAGCCCACAAGGAGGAGCCGAGGCCATCACTCCTTGGGGGAAGAATAATCCATTCTCGTGCTGCTTTCTCAGGACCGCCGTGTCGGCAAACACTCCTCGGCGGACAGCCAGCTCCCCGTGAGGACAGGCCTATCTGGCCTGGCCGCCTGCTGTGGGTCTCGGGTGGGGGAGGCCAGTGGGCACAGCCCCCTGAGGGCGACCCCAGCCCGAGGCCCTGAGACGCCGCCTTGCCGTCCTTTTCTCCCCTCTCCTGCCGTCGCCCAGTGACCCCCCAGTCCCTCTGGCCACAGAGGGCTGGTGCAGGGCGCTACCCAAGGCCTCGGGCACCTGAGCGGGTAGTGGCGCAGAGCTGGGCAGCCCAATGTGCCCTGCAGGAGGGCATGAGGACACTGGGTCGCAGGAGGATTTGGGCCACACAGAGAAAGAGGGGCTCGGGAAGGAGGGGCAGCCCTGGCAAACGCTGCTGGAGGGTTCCATGCTGCGGGCTGTGCAGGTGGGAGAGACGGGCCGGGGGCCCTGCGGGCAGGTGAGGCTGCCCCGGGCCTTCATGGGAACTAGGCTCCCATTAGAGGAGTGCCAGGTGGCTGGGTGGGCCGAGGCCCAGGCGGCTCTGAGATGAGCAGGGACATTGTCCAGCCACACCCGGCACCTGGCACCCTTTGTGGACGGTGGCCTTGCTCCTGGCTTGGAGTCTGCTGCCCGCTGGGTGTGGACTGCAGCTTTCACATCAGCTCTGCTGGGGTGTTGGCCTGAGGGGCCGCGCAGTCTGTGCCCCCACAGGAGGGCATGGCGCTCGGATCCAGCTGTGGAGCTGGGGACCTCACAGTTCCTGACCGGAACAGGTGACCAACGCCCCCATCGAGAGTGTGCCCGGGGGACCCGTCCCATGTACTGAACCTTCTCAGCCCTCTGCCCAGGGTGTAGACACCTCGGGGTGCAGGCTTCCCAGGAGGGGCCCAGATTCACGGGATGCTGCCCAGGGGGCTACCTGGGGGTCAGAAAGCCTCATCGCGGTCATCAAGACGCCATCCCAGCCCCCTTGGTAGGACGCACACCGCGGATCTACAAGCGCCGAGCTGAGCCGGGGCTCCATGTCATCCAGATGTGAACTGCACAGTTTAGCCTTGGTGGAGCCCACTGCCAGCACCTGCCCTGTGAGTAGCTCGGAATAACCTGGTACCCAGGGCTTGTGCTCAAGCCGGAGGTTGATGCTGCCTGCTGGCTCCGGTAGGGGCACTCAGGTGCCAGGGCCATGTGTGACTGCAGGGCCCAGGCAGCCCCAGGGAGCCTTGAGGCTGGGCCCTATGACTCAGGAGCAGAGGGAGCCTCAGGCATTGAGTCAGGCTGACAGACTGGAAACACAGCCCTGTGAGGCCCCCGGGCCATGCCCCACCTCGCAGGGACCCAGAGCCCCACAGCTGCCCACACAGGACGTGCTGCCCACCACCCCAGGCGTGTGTGATGGTGATTCAGGCTGCTGGGCCACCAGGCCAGGACCACCGGCCGCCAAGCCCTCTGTCTGCCGGCGAGGACCGTCCTGCCTGCTCCGCGCCTGGGCCGTCCTCCTGGGCTTCCCGCCCCTCTGTGCTCTGTGCCGCGCACTGGCCGGTGCGTCACCCCCACTCACCGGGCAAGTGGCCGGGGCTGTCACCCTGGCTGCAGACAGCCCCGGAGTCCAGCGCAGGGTCTGGCTCTCCCTGGGATGGGGATGAGTCGACGGCAGCCCTGGGCCCCAGCTGCGGTAACGCGGGGCAGGACAGGGGGTAGGAGAGGCACTGGAACCCGCTGGCGAGGAGACAGCACCACAGTGGGGCTGGGGGACCAGGGCGGGGTGCACACCCCAGACGGTGCTGCCTGAGGCCTGGCCCTGGGACCCTCAGCACAGCCACTGGGAGCACTGTCCAGCCACTCCTGGCTGCAGGGTCACTCTGAGTTCCCTGCTGGGCTGGGACCACCTGGGGCAGCCTCTCGGCTGCTGTGCCCCGACCACCACCCGTGCTCCTCGATGCCGCCCGGCCGTGCCAGTCCTGGTGGGGGCCGTGGGTGAGGCAGCGGTGGGGGCTTCCCCATCCATTCCTCCTCACCCCCCTCCCCCAGCGAGGGGTGCCCCAGTGTCAGCGCCGACTCACAGTGGGGTCTCGATGGGCTTCTCCCCGTGCTCCTCATCCACCTTGAAGAAGCTGACCTCGGAGTGGGCTGGGAGCTGCACGTGCCGCACGCCAGCGGAGATCCGCAGGACCCGGCCGCTCTCGCCTTCCAGGAGAGAAATCACGGACTGAGCCCGGAGCCTGTGGGGTGGTGGATGTACCTAGCGGCTCACCAGAACCTCACCCCGGGATGCTCTGCTTGTCACTCGGTGTGACCATGGTCAGCACCGGCCAGTACTTTGCCCTGGACCAGGATCTTGGGAGCCTCCTCACTCAGCCAGTACCTCTGCCCCCATCTTGAGCTCCTGGACTCCACAAGTCCAGCTCTGGGCCCCAGGGGCCTGGTCCACTTGCACTGGCCAATTGGCCACACTCTCAGGGGTCCTCACTGTGCTAGTCAGGGACTTGGGTCCCCATAGTGAGGCCTCTTTTCACTTCTGTCCTCATCATCCTGGGTGGGGGGGGCACTGCTGCTCTTCCTGCCACCCTGACCCCGTCTCTACCCACACAGGGCCTGGCACAAGGCGGGTGCCCACTGAATGTCTGTGGGTGGTGCATGACTCCAGGGCCAGCTGCCAGGTCAGACGCTCTCGTGCCCCTGCCCCTGCCTGCCCTGGAGACGTGGCACAGTAGTGGGAGTGGCAGGCAGCGTGTGGCCCAGGTGATCTGGTGGGTGGTGGCAAGATGGCTAGGCCTGAGTGGGTGAGGAGGAGGGGGGAAGGATGGCCCATCTTTGAGGCTCTGGGGCTGAAGTGGGGCTCTGGGGGTCTCCCAGGTTCAGAGGAATTGGATGCAACCTGGTTTCTGCAAACTGAGGACAAACAGACCAAGCAGCAGGCCCCAGGGGGCCCGCCGGAGGTGGCTTCAGATAGGGTCACCTTGGACCAGGGGCTCCACATGAACTCCTCAGGGGCAGAAGCGGAGGCGAGAACCTGGCGGGATGGGACCCAGGGCCGGAGTTCGGCCCCAAGGCCAGAGCAGCAGAGGGGGAACCCTGCAAGGACTGGGCTCTGAGGCCCAGACATTCCCGGGACGCCTTGCTCCGAAAGGGGAGTGGCTGACCTGGACGCAGCTCTACTCCTGCCGTCCAACAATCACAGATCGAGACCAAGGATGAAACTGTGTCCAAGGAACGCAGCTCTGCCCAGAGTGAAGCTCAAAATGCCTGACACCCAGCAAGGTCAACGTTACTGTGTCTGGCACCCAGGCGAAGCTCAGCAGGCATGGACACCAGGTATGAACACCGTGGGAAATGTAGGTGGGTTGGAAGCAGCTCAGGTCTGACCCCAGGACTGGGATCGATGGCCAGGGTGCTAGAAGGTTATCAGGTGTGCTGTGTGTTCAGGGAAAAGGAGACGCAGAAGATAAACACAGATCAAAGCTGAACTACAGGTGAGAAGCATCACCTACACGTTATGGTTTCAACCTGGGGTGTCCCCAAAGCTGCACGTGTGGACAATATACTCCACGCAGTGAAGGAGCTGTTGGGAGGGACAGCGGGGTGCAGGCAGGTCCCTGGGCCAGGCCGGCAGAGCGTGCCTCCTTCCCCACTCCTCCCTGTTCTCTGCTGACTGCCATAATTTGAGCAGCCTTCCTCTGCCTGTAATCTCAGCACTCTGGAAGGCTGAGGCAGGAGAATCCACCTGTCTGTGAAACTGTCTCAAAAAAGAAATTAATAAAGGGCTGGGTATGTAGCTCAGTGCAAAGGCCCTAGGTTTAATCCCCAGTGCTGGAAGAGAGAAAAAAATGTTAAAGAGTCATGATACTAGGTATAAACCTGTATCTACAGAAGGGATGAGAAAGCTGGCATTAGTAACTATGAGTAAATGGATCGTTTTCCTGTTTATTAAGAACTCATTAAGAGATAAGCAGTCTTTTCAACAGAAGTAACATTGCACAATGGCGCACATCACACATGTGAGTGTAGAACTTTGAAGACGAAGGCAGGGGCTCAGGAGCGGAGCACACGTGTGCCACTGTGTGGTCGGGGGTGTGGGCCGGGGCCCCGAAGGTGACTGTGACACGTTAGAGATGTACACTGTGACCCTTAACACAGCCCGAGGGAGCAAGAAGTTCTGACTGATGAGCAACAGCCATAATCAAATCATAAAGTCAATCAGAAACCAAGACAGAGCACGCGGGGGTAACGGCTGCGGCAGATTAAAACACGGCCCAGTGGTGCCGCTTCCCTGACTGCAGCATCACCTCAAACGTGAATAGCAGAAACATTTTTGTGAAAAGGCAGAGACTGCCAGAGATGGAAGGAAAAAAGAGCGAGACCCACTTCCACGCTGCCTGCAAAACGACACTTGAAATGCAAAGACACAAACAGGTTCAGAAGAGGGCCGGATAAAGACAGCAGGCAACCCTGGCCCCGGCTGTGAGCGCCCGCACTGGGGACGCGGGGAGTGGATGCGGGCGTGTGGGCCACCAAAGGAGGCAACTCCACAGGGACGGGGTACCGAGGTGGCACAGATCCCGAGGAGTTTATGCCCACAGTACCAGAGCTGCAGGACACAGGAGGCTGGGGCAGAAATGGGAGCGGAAACGGCCCCTTGGTCACCGACGGCGCCAGGCAAGGGCGCACCAAGCCCAGCCAGGGTGCAGGCAGCATCCGTTATCCAAAATGCCTGAGCACGCAGATGCTTCCGCTAGGTTCTGGAACATTTGCTAGACTTACATCACCCGTAAAAAGTTTTGGGTTTCAGGTTTCAGATTTTTGAATTAGGCACGCTCAACCTATAACAGCGAAGACTGAGCTCACTGACATCAACAGAAATTCCACACAGTGGCAGGATCCACATTCTTCTCACGAGCGCAGTGAGCACTTACCATGTTTTGGCCCGTAATACAAGGCCGATGACGTTGGGAGAACTCAGCACATCCAGAGTGTGACTAACTGCATGGGATTAAGTTAGAATTCACTAACAGGATGGACTCTAGGAAGCCCTGAAAAATTCAGCAATGAAACAACTCATAGCATCTAAATAACTCATGGGTCCGTAAGGAAAATCAAAGGAGGAAAGAAGAAAATATTTTCAGTTGAAAATGAAGACACAGTACAAGAAAATGTGCAGAATGATGCAGAATCAGTACTGAGGGGAAAGGAAAATTCATAGCAGTAAATACCTCTATTAGAAAAGAAGGGTATGAAATGCGTAACTTCAGCTTATACCTTAAGAAACAAGGGAAAGAGGGCAAACTAACTCTAAAGTAAGCAGAGGCAAGGAGATCAAAGAAGAAGTGAAAAGAGAAAAACAAAAGAGAAAGTAGAAATTGGTGGAACTAAAAGTGGGTTGCTTATTAATGAAATTGATAACCCTTAGCCACACTGCAGGAAAAAGAGAGAAGCCAGCAATAATACAGACATTATGGACAGGAAAATGTACATTTGGGTTTTTTTGTTTGTTTGTTTTTGTGTTTTTCCGGTACCAGGAATTGAACTCACGACCTTGCGCTTGCCAGGCAGGCGCTGTGCCGCTGAGCTCAATCTCCAGCTCCTAGGAAAATGTACATTTGAACTGAAGCTTGCTCAAGCAGAAGCAGCATGTGTAGGCCTCAACTCATGAAGGAAACTGACGTCTGAAAAGAAAGAAATCTGCCCACAAAGAAAACTTTAGGCCCAGGTGAGCTTTGTACTGAATCTGTCAAACACCTCAGGAAGAAACGATATCACTTCACCACGGACTCTTCCAGAAAACTGAAGATGACAGACTTACCCCCAGCTTGTGCTCTGAGGTCAGCATCACCTAGATATCCAAACCAGGTGAAGCGCTGTAAGAAAACCAGAGACCAGTATCTTCCACAAACAGATGAAAAAAATTCTAAGTAAAATTTTAGCAAATTAAGTGCCAGCATTATCCAGTGGGTAAAGAAGAATCTTTTTAACAAAAGGTATTGAACCAATCATACCCTCTCCTTACCTCCCAATGGGTCACAGGCTAAAATAAAAGTGCTAAAACTATAGAATTCTTAAAGGAAATCACTGGTGTAAATTTTCTTGACCTAGTGTAGGCAAAGTTGTCCTGGAGGAGACCAAAAGTCCTCTCCTTTTTGTGCTTTTAGGTTTTCGATACATTGGATTTCATAAAAATGGTCTTTTGTGGTTCAAAGGATACTACCAAGAAACTGCAAGACAGCACAAAAAATGGGAAAAACATCTGCAAATCAGATATCTGATAAGGGACTCAACTCTGGAGGATATAAAGAACTCTCAAGGTTCATAATGGAAAGATTAACCCAAACCGGGTGTGGTGGTGCATACCTGTAATCCCAGCACTCAGGAGGCTGAGGCAGGAGGATTGTTTCAAGTTCAAGGCCAGCCTGGGGTACAAAGTGAGTTCAAGACCAGCCTGAACTGCATAGTGAGATGCCCCGTCTCAAAGGAAAAAGAAAAAAAAAAGATTAACCCAAGTTTTGAAATGGACAGAGGATCTGCATAGGTATTTCTCCATGGCAGACACACAGATGGCACATGACCAAAGGAAAAGATGCCCAGCCCCACTAACTTCAAGGCAAATGCAAACCAAAACTACAACAAGGTACTGCTCCACACCCACGTGGGTGGCCACTCTGAAAAGACAGATCATAACAAGTGCTGGTGAGGAGGTGGCAATGGGCACCTCATCCCATGCTGGTGGGAATGTGAAATAGAGCAACTGAGAGAAAGAAAGAACATATTGACTCACAGGGATGAGGAGCAATTGTATTTATTTGCAGACAGTGTGATCCATGTATATAAAAGTTCCAAAAAATCCTCAGGAGAATAGCAGCGCTATGTAAGATCAGTATATAAACATTAACTGTTGCCCAGTAATTTCCCAATGAACTTAAGGAGACCCCATTCCCGGAAGCACAAAAACAATATAACAAATGAATTTTCTGGCTATATTAATGATGGTAGTCATATATCTAATAATACATAATAAGTCACTGATGATCTTTTAATAGATTCAACAGAAGTGTTGCAAGACTTTTCATGGAAGTACCAAACTCGGGTGAGAGAGGTGAGCCGTGACCCGGACACCAGCGTCACTCAGGTGGCGACCTTCTGAGGGGATCCAAAATGCCAGCGGGCTTTCCGGCTGCAGGACCACAGACTGACAAGCTGATCCTAAAACTTAGCTGAAAACATGAAGGCTCCCAGAACGGCCGATGCAATTTTGAAAAAGAACAAAGCCGCAGGACCCTAATGGCAAAGTCTGCTCGAGGCTGCGGTGATGAAGACGGTGCAGGACTGGCATGGACCTGGGGTCTAGTGATGGGCGAGTCAATGCAGCAGAACCCAGAGCCCAGGCAGGACCCCGGCCCTCGTGAACTGACCTCTGGGAACAGTGCTAGGCCGATGCACTGGGGAAAGGACAGTCTTCACAAAGGGAGCTGCTAGAAGATGAACTCAGACATTCACCTTGGCCACAAACATTTGTGCAAAATGGGTCACAGACCTGAATGCAAGATCTAGGACTATAAATATTCTACAGTACAAATCACAAAACCAACCAGAATATCTTTGTGATCTGGGGTTAGGCAGAAAATTCTTAGATGCGGGACCAAAACTGTGATCTGTAAATGAAGAAGCTGGCAAGTTGGAATTTATCAAAATTAAGAAGTTGCCAGGCATTGGTGGGAGCACATGCCGGCAATCCCATCTACTTGGGATCCTGAGCTTGGAGGATCATGAGTTTGAGGCCAACCTGGGTGACTCAGCAAGACCCTGTCTCCAAGTAAAAGGGCTGGGCTTGTGGCTCAGTGGTAGGGCATTTGCCTAGCATACCTGAGGTCCTGAGCTCCATCTCTAGCCTAAATAAATAAATAGCTAGTACAATAAAATAAAACTTTTACTGTGCATAAGACATTAAGAAAATGAAAATATATTGGCTGGGTATGGTGGTACACACCTACAATCCCAGCACTCTGGAGGCTGAGAAAGGAGGATCAGCATGAATTCAAGACCAGCTTGGGCTACAAAGTGAGTTCAAGGCCAGCTTGAACTGCGTAGTGAGACCTTGTCTCAAAAAGACGAAAAAGAAAAAAAGAAGAAGAAAGTGAAAATGAAAATGTAAGCCAGACATGGAGGTACATGCCTGTAAATCCCAGCATTTGGGAGCCCAGGGGAGGAGGACTGAAGTTTGATGTCAACCTAGGCTACAAAGAGAAACTCTGTCTCAAAAACTCAAAAAGAAAAACGAAAAGAAAATATAAGCTGTAGGCTATAGACTGAAAGAATACGTACATTTGCAAAGATACGCTTGATCAAGGACTCATATCCAGAGCACATAAAGAACCCTTATGATTCAAGAATGAGAACATGAACAGGCCCATTCTTAGAATGAGTAAAACGATTGAATAAAAACTTTCCCAAAGATCTACGAATGGCCAATAAGCACATGAAAAGCTGTTCAAAGTCATTTCTTACAGGGAAGTACAAACCCATGACACCAGGAGACGCCACTGCACACCCTCGAGGCGGCTGCCGCCAGAGTGAGATCAAATCTGCGTGGATGGGAGGCGGAGAGTGGAGCTCCACACAGTGCTCTGGGGCCGAGAAAGGGGCCGTTCTGAACATGGCGTTTTCTTCAGCAGTCTAAACACAGCCGGTGATTCTGCTGCTGCACCCAGGGGAAATGAGTGCTTGTTTACACAAACACGCACGCCGGGTTCGTGCAGCACTGTCCTAAGGGCCCAAAGGACAGCACGTCAGGTGTCCGTCAGCCAATGAACAGCAAGCAGAACCTGGCTGTCAGACAACAGCACGCTCCTGCCCGGTAACAGGGGTGCAGCCATACACTGCAACATGGTGAGCCCCAAAACATATGCAAAGAAAGAAGGAAGCTGTCACATTCGCGCACACCTGTCCTCCCCGCACTTTTGGGAGGTTGAGCCAAGAGGATTGCAAGTTTGAGGCCGTCCCGGGCAACTTAGCAACTTGGTGAGACCCTGTCTCAAAATAAAAAGGGCTGGGAAGGTAGCTCAGTGCAAAGGCCCTGGGTTCAATCCCCAGTACAGGCGGGGGCAAGTGGGAGGAGAAAAGGTCACGCACAGAAGACTGCGTCTGTGTGCAATGTTGAGAGAAGGCAAACGTACAGACAGATGAGAGGTGGGCAGCTGCTGGGGGCCAGGGAGGGACGGGGCCGTAGGCAGGAGTGAGAGTCTTCCGGAGCAGAGGGACTGTTTGGAAGGGGTATCGTGTGTGGAGGTGGCTGCCCAAATCCTGAGCTAGTGAAGGCCATGGCATCACTTCATACAGGTTAATTTCATGGGACGTAAATGATGCCTCAATAAAGTTGTTAAAAGAAACCAGTTGTGACTAAATGTATTTGACCAGTGCTATACACTGTGGCTTCCTGATCAAAGCAGAGTGGGCCAAGGTGAGCTCCTGTTCGGGAATCACGGATGTGGTGGGAAGTGTTCTCAAGCAGGGAGTCCACCTGTCCCCGCAGCATGGCTTGAGCCTGCCCTTCCTCAGTTTCCCTAAGGAGGAGGATCAGACGCCCCTTGGCCCACTGGGCCACAGCCCACACCCCCTGCAGCAGAGCCAATAGCGTCTCTTCCATGTCTGTGCTGTGAGATGTGTGCTAATGTCGCTCGAGAGCCAGAACACACGCATGTACACGTGCACATACACTCGTGTGTGTATGCATGCATGCGCACACACTGTCTCCACCAGCTGGAGGGCTCCTGCGCCTCCTGCCCCTTCTGCCAGGCTCCGGGCACCAGGGCCTCCTGTACCCGGTCACTCAGGCCCTGGGAACCCATGAGCACACTGTCTGGGCCTCTGCAGCTCAGGAGCCTGGGGTTCCCCGGGACACTCACTGTCCGCCGTTGCCCCGCTGTCCTGTTGCAGCTGCACGCGCACCGTGAAGGGAGAGCCGAGGGCCACCTCCAGCACCTCTGGGCCCAGAATTGCAATCCTTGTGGCCGGTGCTGGGGAGGGCAGGGCAGGCATTAGTGTCGGGGCACCCGGCGGACACTGCATGTGTGGTTGGGGCCCCAGGCTGGGGCCAAGAGCGAGCACCCGCTTGTCCAGCATGGACTGGTCACCAAGGTGTGGATGATAGGCCACCCGGTTGTCACCAGGAACAGCACAGGGAGTAGCGGGGGCCCAGGGAGGCCTGGCAGCCAGTCCCCTCCCCGCCCCGTCCCCTGTGGGCCACAGGCCCTTTGCGGTCATGTCGGAGTGTGGAGCTTGCTACAGGCCTGGATGAAGGTGCTTGGAACCAGGGCAGCACTGCAGACACCTGGCTGCTGTGGTCAGGAGGTCCCGGGGCTTGGGTTGTGGCCAGGGGACTCTGCTAGCAGCATGACCCCTTGGGTCCAAGGTCAGTCTCAGGGGCTCTGCAAGCCCATGCATCCCTTGAAATCCCAGAAGAACCTGCTTTTCCTGAGAGGGGACGGGACTCTGGGCTCCGAGCTGCCCAGCCCCTGCCCAACATGCTTGTGGCCCAACTCCTGCCAGGTGGCTGCCCGGAACCCTGTGAGGGACAGTGAGGCCAGGGGGCAATGGGACCCTACCTGCTGGGTGGCCATTGATCCACAGCCCGCAGTAGGTGACCCCGGAGCAGTGGGCCAAGCTGCCCAGCCCACTGAACACGTCGCTGTGCCACTGTCCCTGCAGAGAGGAGGGGGTGGCCTCAGGGGGTGGCTCCAGGGGTCCGGGCGCCCAGCAGCACCAGGGGCCCAGGACCACGGACACGGCCCCCTCCCATCTGGCTGTGCTGTTGGGCGCGACTCATGTGCTCTGCCCCTCGGGTGCACGGCCACACAGAGCTCCACAGGGGGTACAGCACCGGGTGGGTCGCAGGTGCCCAGCCTGCCAGCCACAGTGGCGTCAGGACGAGGCGCACACTGCTCCATCGTACGCCTCCAACTCAGGAGGCTGCTCAAACCTGCAGCGTGACACATGTGCCCGGCCGGGGCGCCTGTGTCAGCACGTGACAGAGCAGACACTCACGGGAGACAGCAGGAAATACTTCCGTGGAGGGACTCGGGGCTGCGCTGCTGTCTCATTTGACTATGAGGGACTTCTGTCTGGGGAAAACGGGCCACGGCTGACGTTGTCCATTGCTCTTCTGCAGAGCTGAGCTGGGTTCCGGCTCCCGGCCCTCCAGTCCCCCAGGCCCCAGGCTGTGCAGCGCTGTGGCTGCTGAGGAAGGGGGAGGGGAGGGGAGACCGTAGGGTTCACAGGACTGAGAGTGGGGCCTGCAGCCCTACAGAGCTCAGACACCCCCAGCCTGGGAAGCCAGATCCACGAGAAGGCAGGGAGAGGGCCTCGTGCGGTGGCTCACACGCAGCTCACGCCCGGCCTTATCCCTGCAGGAGAGACCCACCGCCCCTCTGGGGTCTGAGGTCCTTGTCCTGCGCGCGTCAGTCTCCCTGGGGTCCCTCCAGCACCAGGACCCCGAGACCTCAGCCCAGTGCAGTGCTTCTCGTTCCTCTGGGGGCTGCACCCTGGCTGCCCTGAGCCGCAGCTCCGAGCACGACACCCTTTCCCACCAGTGCAGCTGTGGGCACGAAGGCCCAGGGCAGGGCCGCAGGGGCGAGGTGAGGGGGGCTGCAAGTGCAGACCGGGGGTCGGCGGGAACCCACAGGCTGCCCTGACACAAGTGGAGCCCCAAGGTGCTGGTCCCCGGACGCTCGCCTTTCTTGGCCTCCCACAGTGTGACCCTCCGCGTCCTACCGGGGGGGCCAGCTCTGCCCTGGGGGACTCGAGTCCCCGTCCTGGGCCTGTGGACCCCAGGTGTGGGCGGCCACGCCCACACGTGCACCTCTGCATGTGGCCGGAAGGCTGAGCCACAGGCCCACATCGTCACACCGAGGCTGGGCCTGACTCTCCCCGGCTCTGGTCAGCATGGGCACGGGTGCAGACGGTGCCGAGCCAGGTAGCCGGCAGTGCTGCAGGGCTGCGGGGAGTGGGCTGCCGACAGGCGGGAGGCTGCACCAGGGCGCCCATGTCCTGAGCAGGGGCTCTGGGAGGACGGAAGCTGCCATGCGGGGTGTGAGGCCTTTGGGAAACGGTGCAGAACGCAAGGCCAAGGAGAAGCCAGAGGAGTCCTGAAGGCTCCCCAAAGACAGGACCCACGAGCTCGCCGGGCGGTGTCCTCACACGGGAGGCCGCGCCATGGGGAGGCCCAAGAGGCCAGAGCGGGACGCCGTGCCAATGACAGGGCTGTGCTGCCCCCTGGTGGAAGCGTCCTGGAGGTGAAGGTGCTGTGAGGCCCCGAGTCCCGGTGCCCAGCAAGAAGCCCTGGCCCACCAGGAAGCCCTGCTGACAGCCAGGGGACCACAGGACAGAACCTCCCAGGGACAGGGCTAGGCCGTGTAGCTGCCCCTTTGGCTTCCATGGTCGGTCAGCCCTGAAAGAAGCCTGGGGCAGGGTCTTCCTGAATCTAGAGCACAGGGTGTGGGATGGGCTGGCACAGTGGTCAGGCTGCTCCGACACTTCCTGGCTTGAGAGGCCGGGCCTGTTTCCCCATCTCCTGTATGCACGAGGGCTGGGAACAGCGCTGGGTCTGGAGGAACAGCTCCAGCTTCTTCTCAGGACGCCTGTTCGTCCCGTGCAGGAGGGGCCTGGGTGTCGGGGAAGGAGGGGCAGGAGGCAAGTCCTGCCTTGCCTGCCCTGGGCCTGGCTGGGCAGGCAGGAGGGTGGGGGCCGGGCTGGACGCCTCCTCCATGAGAGTAGCTGGGGATGTGAGGCTGACCTGGCTGCGACATCTGTCACCTCATTGATTGCCAGGGTTGTTTCGGCTGATCTGGCTGGCTAGGCAGGTGTCCCCTTCCTCCCTCAAAACTCCATGTGTGTCCCTCCCGAAGCTGTGCGCTCAGTTGAAGAGGACGACCACCCTGATAGAGAAGGCCCATTCCTCGGTCAAGGGTGTACGAGGAGCTGCGCTCCCTGCTTGAACCTCCAAACAAGCTCTCATGAGAGGAGCTGGGCTGTCATAGGGGCTCTGCCTGCACAGTCGCATCGCCTGCCAGCAGGGGCTCCGGACTCCCCGGGAGCAGCGAGGGTCTCGCTAGAGCTGGCTGACCCAAGCAGAGCTCTAGGGCCAGAACAGGCATGGCCTATGCCCTGGAGCATCCCCAGAGGTCAGGGCCCTGTGCTGGTGGCTATCGTACGGCCTCTCAGAACCCAGCTTCTGGCCACCCTTGCCCATGTGCCTGGGTGAGGGAGCTGGGCTGGGCATTTCTCCCTGGCCATGGATACAATGCCTGGCTCTGCCAACAGAGGACATGGTGGAGTCCACGGGAGGAAGGGGCAATCTAACCAGACTGTGTCCACCATCGGCCAGTCTGACCCTCTTTCCTGAGTTCCAGCTGTGGCCACCCTCTCCCTGGGCCTGCTCCTCCGGGGGAGCGGGCTCTTCCTGCACCCAGGGTCTCTGCTGCAGGACAATGTGGCAAAGATATGCATTCAACTGCCACGGGGTCTCAGCCCCGAGACTGCACGACTCTGGGGCTCCTCTAGGGGGCCTGGACTTGTCATCCCTCCTACTGGAGCCCCACAAGCCTCCTGGTCACCATCACAGCCCCACTCAGTAGCTCCTGAGCTCCGGGACCTGAATAGCACAGCCCCAAAGTGACAGCTCAAGTGGCCAAGAAGCAGGTGATGCTACAGGTCCCTTGCATCAGGCTCAGAGACAGCCGGGCCGCCCTCTCCCCTGGGGCTGTCTTGGCCACTCTTGCACGGCTGTGTCCACATTTCTTATTTTGTCCTTTGGCAGTTCTCCCTCTTCCGAGAGGGTAATTCCCGGTGTCGCATTTTCTGCAGCAACACTGCTCTGGTAGCTTCTGCCTCCTGTCCCTACCCAGAGCAGGTCCTGCTGTCCCCATGGCACTCGGCCCCAAAATTCAGGAGGCCTCAGTGACCTCCCCTTGCCTTCATCTTGACATCCCCTGGGAATCCCCTGCCGACAAGGCGGCCTCTGCTCCAGGCCGGTGTGTCGCTGTCTGCACCCCTGGAGGCCCTGGTGCCTTCCTCCCATGGGACACGCAGGATCCTCTTGTCATTGTCCAGCGGGGCTCTCACACCCAGGACTGGACATAGCTTCCCCTGCCACTGCTGGGACTTGGCTCCGGCTGTGCTGGACTTGGCCCTGTCCTGTCCACTGCGCAGGCCAGCCCTACCCACACTCTGCCCTGCCTGTCCACGCTGTGTGCCCTTCCCTCCGAATCCAGGCTCTGCTGCTGGCCAGGGTGCTGGGCAATTTGTCCCGCTGTGCTCCCAGGTTGGCACCCAGGAAGGTGAAGCATGTGGACTCGGGCAGAAGGCTTCTTCCACACGCCGCAGTCTCCACCTGGCAGAGAAGGGCCTGGAGTCCCAGGTGGCCCCAGCAGGTGACGCTCAAAACTGGCACTGGGTGGACAGCACACATCCCTGCTTGGAAGGAGGCCGGGCCTCGATTCTCGCCATCTGGGGCCACATGGGATGGGGCGAGTCTCATCAGATGGCCTCCCCATGCGCAGGGGTGAGCATCACTTCCGTGACTTGACGGTGCTGCAGTCCTGGGCCCAGGAATCAGACACGCTGGGCACAAAGGCTTCTGGGGCCAGGATCCATGGGGGCCCCAGGAACCAAGTGACACTGTTTGTTTTTCACAACTGCAGATTGAACACAGAGAGCACCGAGCTGCACCCTAGCCCTTCTTTTTCTTTTTTTAAATTGGGTACGTTTTAGGTATATATAGCGATCACATTCATCATGGAGAATTTGCACCTGTACGTGATGTAGTTTGCTTCTTTTTTTTCTTCCCATTTGAACATTTTCTTCCCATTTCCCAATATCTATTACACAGTTTGGTCCTTACTTACACTTTCAGTTTCTCACACCAAAGGAAAAGTGCAGTACTGAAACATGTATGTCTCATTTGTTTCATTGAAGAGTATGGTCTCAAGATGCATCCATTTAGCTAGAAATGTCTGGTTTATCCTTTATGATTGAGTGGTACTCCATTGTATAAAAAAATCCCACATCTTCTTTAGCCATTCATTGGTTGATGGGGATGTTTCCAAGATTTAGGTATTACAAACTGTGCTACTATGAACATGAGTGTGCATATATTTCTGTGGTACGATGCTTTTAATTCTTTTGGGAATATACCAAGAAGAGGAATACCTGGGTTGAATGGAATGTCTAATTTTAATTTTTTGAGGAATCTCCACACTGATTGTATCAGTCAACACTCCCACCAGAAGTGAAGGGTTCCTTTTTCCCCACAGCCCCACCACATTTGTTATTGATTTCTTGGTAACAGCCCTTCTTTCTGGAGTGACATGGAATCTCAGTTGTTTTAATTTGTATCTCTTGAACGATCCATGGTGTATGGTGTTGAACATTTTTTTTGTATATTTGCCATTTCTACTTCTTCACCTGAGAAGTGTCTGTTCATTTTAGATGCCTATTTTTGGACTGGGTCTTTACATTTTGGGAACTGATTTTTTTTTTTAGTTCTTTATATATTCTAGTTATTAGTCCTTTCAGGAACAGCTTCCCACTCTGTGGGTTGTCTCTTCACTCTGTTGGTGGTTTCCCTTGCTGTGCAAAAGCTTTTTAATAAGATGAGATCCCAGTTGTTGATTCTCTGTGATAGTTCCTGTGGAATCAAGGTTTTG